AGAGCCAGCAACTACAAACACCCGTTAAAAATACGTGAATGAGGATTTAATAGTTTAACATTTCTACTTTGTTCTGCCTCATGTTGGTACCCAGCTGGGACTGACAACTCCCAGAAGGTGAGGATGAGGAATGTGGGTGTGTGTGTTGGGGGGGGAGGGGGCGGTATTGGGAGAAACGGAAGAGACACAGGGCAGGGAGCAGAGCTTTCCCATGCTGAGAATAAGGCTCACATAGAGAATGAGAGGGGGAGAGAGAGAGATGCCAAGATCTAAGTCAGAGCAGAAGGAAAATGAGCCCTGAATAGGAGCCTTGTGTGTGGCCCTGTGGTGCTGACTCACCAAGACTTGGGAGAGGAGAAAACACTAGGGTTGAAGAAGCGGCCTGTGTGCTGTGGCCACAGTCTGCCACCCCAAGGACACGCTGTCTGCCCTGAGGCCCAAATGGTCTTGAGAGGTTTTGATTTGGGTCAGGTGGGCTGGGGGTTGGGGGTGGCCACTGCAAGAAGGGAGATGGGGAAGTCTTTGGAGAATACAGAAGACCCTTCCTGGGAGAGCTGTGGGTCTGAGTTCAGATGGGCAGGCGGAGCAGGGGAAGGAGGTGTCTCTCCCCAAATATTCAGCTGCAGTCTCCTCCACAGGCAGGTGTGGCGGGTCAGACTCACAAGCTGGGAGAGGCAGGTGCTCATGGCTTCAGTGGCTTCTTGTCCATACCGGAAGAAGTCATGCCTTGTGAGTAACTGCTTCTCAGAGTGGATGCTACAGATGAAGGCATGGCCTGGGAGTAGAAGCTCCGAGATCCTTCCCACTCCTAGCCTCACCTCGGCTGTCAAACCGGTTCACAGACTTGAGGACAGGATTTTTGTGGCAACCAGGATGGCAGGTGGCCCTAGGCCAGCAGGCAGATGGCAAGCCCGGGTGGACGGGATCACAGGTCAGATGTTGTAGAGAAACAGGCAAGAGGAGGAAAGAGTGTCTGATGGAGTAGCCGAGCCTGGGCTAGGAACTCTGGTCCCAGGTCGGCTCAAGAAGGCGCAGGTGGCTGAAGCAGAAAGAGGGAGCCAGACTGACTCTTTAGAGCTAGGCTTATTCTCCCCATCTGCAGTGTAAGGGAGCTAGAGTCACGGGGCTCTAAGCTTCCTTTCACTCTAACATCTGATGACTCCCTGTGTTACCCCTCTCTCTTCTCCCTACCAAAGCCCCCTCTCTTTCAGTGTCCTGTTCCTAGCTCAAAGTCTCAAAAGAAAGCTAACAAACCAGTGGATTCATACTGAAATGTATTATTTTCCACAAACTAATATTCTGAACTTCCCAAATGTATTACATATTTTTTTAAAAAATTATTTACTTATTATTTACCTTATTACTGCATTGGGTCTTAGTTGCAGGATCTTCAGTCTTCCTTGTGGCATGCAGGATCTAGTTCCCTAAGGATTGAAACCGGGCGCCTGCACTGGGAGTGCAGTCTTAAGTCACTAGAAATCCCAAATGCACTAGATACTTTCTACTATAGTATGGCCACTGGAAGGAGAGTGGACTTGAAGGACTAATGAATGAAGGTTTGAATCCCAGCTGTGCCCCTGACTCTCAGCCCGGCTGACTTGTAGGACCTTGAGCAATGCCCTGGGCCTCAGTAGGCCTTCATTACTTTATGGGTCAAGCAGGAATAACCTGCCTCTTTCAGTAGTTGTGTTGATGAAGTAACACATGTAATATACATGATTGACAGCTTGGTACCAAATAAAATACTCAGAAAATGTGTCCACCCACATTTAGGGGACTTAATCACGCCCAGAAAGAACAGAGTCTGAGAGATTAAGGTGCAGGAGGCTTACCAGGAGCTTCCCTGGTGGCTCAGAAGGTCAAGAATCTGCCTGCAATGCGGGAGACCTGGGTTTGATCCCTGGGTTGGGAAGATCCCCTGGAGAAGGGCGTGGCAACCCACTCCAGTGTTCTTGCCCAGAGAATTGAGAATCCCCATGGACAGAGGAGCCTGGCAATGTACAGTCCTTGGGGGTCGCAGAGTCTGACGCGACTGAGCGACTGAACACGCACAGGCTCATCAGGGAGAACCCTTGGGGATCCACATGAAGGAAGAGGGGAGGGAGGAAAAAGAAGAGGTGGGGACAGCTGAGCTGCAGCAGTCTCAACGGAGGTTCAGTCAACCCTACAGGGAGTTTAGAAGCTCAGATGACCCTTCAGAGCTCTCTTGATTTGGGACTAGGGGGCCAGGTCTTTATGCTCCATATCAGCAGTCTTTGGATGTGGACTGCCCATGAAAGGAGATGTGACCTTGGTGTCAAATTGCTTTCCAAAGGGCTTACAGCCAAGAGCTGTTTCCTGTCAGCATTTCCTGCAGCTAGGAAAATAAATCCTTCATTCCTGAAGGGGGACCTGCGTGTTTGCCATGCTGAGTTAATTAGTAGGACTCTTGTCAGATTAAGTAGGTGACTCCCCAGGGATAAGGCCAGTCTGCTGCTACACTTCCCAGTAATTTTTCCAAGCCAGCCATTTCACAGTGGTGTGGGCAGAGCATGCGACCTTCCCAGTGCCCCTCCAGCCCAACAGCAGCACAGACATTCACACCACTGGGAGAAAAGGAGAAACTGCTTTCACATCCCTCCAAGGGAATCAGTCGCTTGCAGGTATCCCAGGACCCACTGGATTCTTTTCAAACCTTGTCATTCCCCTTTTGCTTATGGAGACTTAGGGGGTAGGAGGGGACATTTATGGGTAATGTGGTATTTTGGCAGAAGGTCCTTTCTCAGCTTGGCTTTTACACGTTCCTAGGTCTCCTCTACAGGTTACTTGAGAATGTTTTTGCAGACTGCTGTGGCCTGGGAGCTCTGTCAGTCTCCTTGAGACAGGACTCAGCTTTCATCCGAAGACCAAGCCAAGCCAACCGAAACATATTGGAAACACAGGGAGATAGTGTGGAAGTCCAGGTAAATAATGCTTTGGAGAGAGGAGAAAAGACATTTTGCTTCTTCTCTAGTTACCTTTTTCCACCCACAAGGAGCTGTTTTTGCTAGGACCACCTTTAGTGACCCTATATGGCATTTTCACCCCACCTGCATTATTCAGTTGTCTATAGTAACTTTTTACATTAATGTTGTGTCCCCCCCAACTGGATTGTGAGTACCTTGAGGTTTTTCTCTAATAGCTATGTTGGTTTCAGTCTCTATCCTAATTATCTAAGAGATCACAGTTGCTTGAGGGGAATTAATGTTTTTTGTTCCACTTACTGAGCTGATAAATGCCTCTAGGTTAGGGTGGTGAAGCAGCAGCATGGTGTCCGGCAAGGTGTAAACCTGCCTCATGCCAAGCAGCAGCCCAGACACTTATCTTGAGCTCCACCTTGGTTCACTGATTGGAATCTCTATGGGGAGGGGCGTGGAACTGGCATAATGAGTGACTCAGGAGATTCTCATTTGGGAAACAGGTAGTGTGAAGGAGCAAAGCACTGGGTTTTCAATCCAGGCCCTGTCACCTACTAAGATCCCCAGTACGAATCTCTGGTCTTCAACTACTACCTCATGGGTACACCGGGGATAACACTTTAAAGCACCCTTGTGCAAATTACTAAGGGAAGATGTGAGTGAAATCATTAACATGGTCCTTGGAATCCAAATAGGCACTCCTGACTTCGAATACCACTGACATTCTTGCAAAACAGATTCCAGAGCTTTAAGTCATCTCCTTATGTTAGAGGCAAGTAAGTTCTTGTGAAAGAACAAGTGAGGGTTATGAGGAACTATTTCTCAAAATGTGATCTTCAAATCACCTACATCAGCTGGCCTTCAGGCCCAATCCCCAGGAATCTTTTTTTTTTAAGCAGGATTCCTGTAAGTATAACAAAGTTTAAGAACCATTACCCCAGTGTCCTTTCTCCTCTTTTGCTTTTATCAGTAAACTGGCCATTGATATGTGAGCAAATGGGTGGACAGGCTCTCAGGTTTTCTCAACTAGTTTTATAGCAACTAAATTAAAATTATTCTTGGGGAACAAATGATGCTCATTTCCTACCTCTGATGCATTATGAAAACATGAACTATTTTGAAGTAGGATTTTTCAAAAGACATTTGAAATTCTGTTTCAAGAGCCAAGCATCAGAAGTACTCTTTATAAATTACATATGCCTGCTAAGTTGCTTCAGTCATGTCTGACTCTTTGCGACCCTATGGACTGTAGCCTGCCAGGCTCCCTGGTCCATTGGATTCTCCAGGCAAGAATACAGGAGGGAGCCGTCATGTCCTCTTCCAGGGGATCTTCCTGACCCAGGGATCGAACCAGCGTCTCTTACATATATATACACACACAAATTGACAAGGAAGCATTGCTGACAGTGAGCGCAGGCCATTATGAAAAAAATGGCTATAAGAAGTACTTGTTGAAAAATGGATATAACCAGTAATTGGCTTAAATGCTAGGAATGTAGATATGTAAACAACCACACTGTGTGAACATCTTTTGTACATCAAAGGATTTTAAAGTGCTTTTATCTGGCTACACTTGCATTTGCTAACAGTGTAGCAGCAATAGCACTGGACTGACAGACAAGAGATGCATATGAGTCATCTGTAAAATGAGAGGGCTGGACAAGATCAGGCATTCTTATCTTACAGTACATGATTTATGGATGGCTTTCAGGGTCTCTGGACACCATGAAGCCATCAACTGAATTTTGCACATGAGCATATACATTTTTATGGGGACAGTGTCTAGCTATTCTTAAGATTCTCAAAAGGTCCAGAACCCCCAAAATGATTTAAAAATTATGGACTGGACTATTGTGAAGGCTTCTCTCAGCTCTAAGAGTCTAAGGAAAACCAATGTCCCATGTCCTTTTCGGGTCTAACCTGGATGGGTCGTGTTATCTTTGTTTTTTTTAAAGCCAGGAACCAGTGGTCCCTTTTTACCAACCTGCTCCTTCCCTAACAAAATGGGCCCCATTGTGCAACATTCTTCACTTGGTACAAACAAGACTATTTTTGCCCAGACAGTATGATTTAAGTTGTTTTAATGTAGTCTGCTATAAAAGTGGATGAAGACTTCTGCACGGTACATTTGGTTTTACAGATGTTAATAACTAGTTAGTGCTTGTGCTATGTGCTGCACATCATTATGACCTGTTGACCAGGAACAGCTCTCACAACATGGGTTAAGACTGGAACTGTGAATCATGGAACTTCCACTTAGCACACACACACAGTCTACAGCAAACTTAAATACTAATCTATAATACCTAACTGGATTATTTGATCCATTGCAGTATTGTGCTTGTTTATCTCAGAAGATAGGCAACTAGCAAAAATACACATTTCTTTTGCGCTTCCCCCACCCCCATATTACACTGTAAAAGTAATACATTATTCAGTGCACTTTCTAAGAAATAAACTTCCTTATAGTATCTCTCTCTCTATATATATCTATGCCAAAACAAAAGAAGAGCACAATGCAACTTGTAAGATTACCATTTAAAGCAAGAGAGGTAACAATACTCTGGGATTATAGCCCCCTTTCCTGTTTAGAAAAGTTCCAGTTCATGTGACAATGCATGGGAATAAAATTTAATGCATGATTGCTCTGGGAAGTTTAAGATAACCTCTTTATCATTTGGTAGACATGCTAGGGCATTAACAGTATTTTCTTTTTTTTTTTGATGTATTGGCTTTAGTCAAACCATAAGCTGTGCAGACACCAGTGTACTCCAGAGTGATTTATCTTGATTTCCGTCACCTGCTTTTCTCCCATCAACTCATACTGGGTTATGAGGAAGTAGGTTTAAATCGTAACAGGAGGTCATGCTGTGTTCTTCGTCACTCAGTTGAGTCCGACTCTTTGTGACCCCATGGACTGTAGCCCGCCAGGCACTTCTGTTCAGGGGGATTCTCCAGGCAAGAAAACTGGAGTGGGTTGCCATGCTCTCCTTCAGGGGATCTTCCCAACCCAGGGATCGAACCCAGGTCTCCCATATTGCAGGCAGATTCTTTACCAACTGAGCCACCAAGGAAGCCCTGCCTGCTGGGTAAAGTGTTGACTAGAAGAATGTATGTGAGACCTCTCCATCCTTGTGGACACAGAATCAGGTAACCACCATGTCTGAGGTGGACAGTCATACTCTAGGAAGTTTGTTGGTTGTGCTAGCCAACAAGTTGGAAAGCTTGGAGGCTTCTGTCCGCACAAACTCACTGTGATGGAAATGACAGAAGTTTCTAGAATTAAAGAGGCTGCAGCTTGGCAGCTTGTGAGCTAAATCCAGCTGCAGAAATGTTTAGCAGTATTTAAAAATATTTTGATCAGTTCTTGATATTTAAAAATGAGAATGTTTCTCATGAAAATTTGGATTTCATAAAAATCTTAGGAGCTGGTAATCCTGGTCCAGCATTCTTGCATAGCAGCAAGCAGCTGAAGTGGCACAGGAGGTGCCCTTTTCAGCAGGGCATGAGCACTTCACTTTGCTAGGGCTCTCACTGCTCCCAGCTGTTATATGTCATTTGAGTGAGTGACCGATTTGTTTTTCTCATTTATATAACCAGTTGAGCTTTGTGACACTGGGTTGGTTTGGCCTTGTCTTCATGATGCTAAAGACCTGATGTCATGTGAAATTTCCCCCTCCCCATGACAAGATTCCTTCTTTGATTGGGTCCCAGCTACGTCTAGTTGCTTTGGTAGGTAATCTTAACATGCATTTCTACTCATCCTTTACACTATATTGCAAACTCCAAAGATACAATCACACTAATATTTATGTGTTTAAGTGTGTGTATGTTAAACACGTAAAGGGGTGTGTATCTATACAGATATATGTATACTTTCATTTAGGTAAAAGTTAATTTGGTTCCACAGATACGGACACCAAGTGCTGGCAGCTTGGAGAATAAGTGTGTAACAATTTGCTAAAACCTGTTTAATTCTGACTTATAATATTACAAAGAGGGTGAACTTTAAGTTATTGCTTTTTGATTACAGAATAAAGATCTCATTCTGTTGCAAAACTTTTATACAGAATGAGTAACCATTTCCTATTCAAGTAATAGCAATCGGAATCAGAAATTCCTTACACAACAGTAGATGCCTGAAGACATTTTTGAAGGAGATGTGATTTCATTCTATTCAAGAACTTATGCAGGAAACTGGGAGTGATGAGGTTTTTCCAAAGTACAAGAAAATCAGCACCCCAACTGCTTAATGTTCAGGAGGGTTTCTCAAGGGCTCTATAAAGCTCACTTTGTGGTCAGTTTTCATTCACCTTTAGCATTCCCATTCTACTTATGCAGCCTTATTTCTGAACACAAAGCTTGTATTAAAACAGTAAAAGAGGATTAAAAGCAGTGTTGGTTTTTAACATTCAGAATTCACAGAGGATCTCATTTTTTTTTTCAGTTAAATGATCCATTCTGTGCTTTTGCTGCAGAATGACATTCATATGGCAGTCTAATTTCAGGCACTTTTAAAACATGTTCATCTGGAATAAAAAAATCTGCATGAACCACTTCCGCATAATTCAAAATGAGTGTTGAGTGATTCGAGTCTCCAGACAGACAGCAAATCACAACCTGGTACTGAAGTTAGCTTTCTCCATCATAACGTGATGGTGACTGTGAAGCTTAGGTGTCTTTGAGGTGCCCTTCTAGCTTTAGCACAAAGATGGGAATCATAAAATTCCAAACTACTTAGTTTCTACTTATAAAATACAAAAAGGTGAAACACACTAAATGTATTATACAGACGGTTTCAGCTAAGATCAAAATAAATAACATGATCTGACTCAATGGTTTGACTCTTGAGCTCCTGGACGAAATCTGATGGAATGTCAAACGCAGAGACTCCCTCCTAGGCACTAGCTGCTGGTAGGCAAAAGTATCTCAACATCCTTGCCATTGGTGACAATAGCATTAGAAGAGCAGCTGCTGCCAAGGTCTTCTGCAGTGGCCAAAGAGGATGCCTGGGAGTGAGTTTTGGTCAGGGGCGTGGTAGTGGATGGAGAGGGAGTGAGGCCAGGCTTTTTGGGTGGGATGGGTGGAGGGTTTCCTCTCTCAGCTCTGGGGATGGTAGGGGACTTGATCCCTGGAGACAGGGGGCTCAGAGGACTGGACACCTTTCCTGGAGTAGGTGAATGGCTGGTGTCACCTCTCGCGTTGGCAGTGCTGGCCAGATTTCGGTAGTCTGTGCCAAAGGGAGAGCTGTTAGGAGACACGGGCTTGATTGGTCCTTGTTGGTTAGTGAATCTGGAGAGCACCTGAGTGACCGTGTTCCGGGCCAGCTGCTTGGCAGCAGAGTTGTCTATGAGGGTGGGGGACAGATCCCTGGATGGAGGGCTCTGCAGACCACTGGCTTGTTGGTCCTGATCTGCTTGGGACTGAAATTTGTGCCGAGCTGCATGGAACCGCTGGTTGATCCCTACTTGGTAGGATGACTGGTAGCCAGGGCTGCTGGCTGATGACCCCAATAAACGCTTAGTTAGTACTGGTGAAGAGCAAGGAGAGGATGTGAGAGAGGAAGAGGCAGTGCTGCTGGGAGATGGGGAGCTCCCACTGGAAGGCAGATGACTAGGCGCTGGGACTGGTGTCTCTATTCCCACAGGACACCCGCCATTCTCTACTGCTTTTTCTTGCGCCAATTCCACAGGCTTCTCTCGTGGAGGCACTTGGTTTTCTACATTGCTGCCTGCAATCAACTCCTTGGTAGTCTGCATTTCTGGGTCAAAATGTCCATTGGTTTTTGCATAAGAGTAAGTGGGAGTGGTGGGCCCAGGCAGCTCGGTGGTTGTCACCTTGGTCGTGCTGCTCCCATGTGTCTTCTCTGCCTGAAAACTCTCTGTTTGGCAAAATACAGACACTAGCACGGGCGGCTCAGTTACCGTGCCTTTAGACACAGTTACTGGTTTCTTCACTTGCTCGCTGGGGCCACTTTGCTGGTGCAAAGCCTCTAGATCCTTCACTACCTTCCTCAAACTCTCCATTTCTTCCTTCAGAGTTCTGGTCCGGTTCTCTTCTCGGTTCAGCTTTGCTCTCAGCTGTTCCCTTTCAATGTCAAACTCCGACAACTGCTTCTCCACCTGGGCCTCCGTCTGCAAGCCCCGCTTCCGCTCGGCGGCCAGCTCTTCCTCCAGCTTGCTCACTCGGCTCTTCTCCTTCTCCAGTTTCAGGCTCAGCTCTCCCGCCTTCTGGCCCTCCTCCGCCGCCTTGCTGGTGGCCTTCTTGCACTCACGGACCAGCATGGAGGAGAGCTGCTTGTGGCGGGAGCGCTCCTCTTCCAGCTGACTGGAGAGTTTCTTCTGCTCTTTTTCAAACTTTTTCACTTGGGACTTTTCAAATTCCAGCTACAAAAGAATGGCACCACACATCTTGATTAGAGTAAGGAAACAAAGAGACACTGACAACTGTTATCAAGTAGTGTATCAGGTTTGCTGCTCTCTGCAGGCACATGGGATTACCACACATGCCATGTGCTCACATCAAATATTTCTTAAGTATTACAACACCTAACATAAAAATGTACACATGACGACTTAATCTTGCTTTGATGATTTAGGAGGCACTTCTAGTTCTTACTGTCTAAGGGTTATTAGTGGGAATCTGAATCGTCATTGTGTTCTAGGTCTATGGAAAGTTCAGAGGATTAGAACCAATCAAAACAGAAAGCAGAAAGCCATATAAACTGGATTTTGTGATGAATGCTGATGAAAACAAAACCTTTAAAGCTTCAGTAATAATTCTTTCTGGTCTTAAAAACAAACAAACATAAGTAGCTGCATATGAATCATTCTTCTGCACAAATGCCATTGGCTTTAATCATCATCCCAACCCTACTTAAAGCACAAAATGAGAGGGAAAGGGTTTAAGGAACCCTTTTAGTCAGTGTTTTTCAAACTCTGAGACCCATTAATGGATGCAGAAACCATTTAGTGAGCCATTAAGAATTTGAACAAATGAAATAGAAGTGAAAATATCAATGTGTATTATAAGCAGTAAGGGTTATGTATGATTTCATGAGATTTTTGTTTCAAGCATATGATATATGTATATGTATTTGTGATGTAAAATGTATTTTTTACTAGGAGTCCTAAGTCAAAAAAAGTTTTGAAATCTCAAAGTTAGTATTGCCCAAAGTGTGTTATATGGAACGAAGGTCCATAGCTGAATGATCTATGTTAACAGATTTTATGATTTGCTAAACACAGAATACCCTATATTGATCTAGAAGACTCACAGCATGCTTTGGCATACTACAAAGTCTAAATAGTTGAAGTTAGAAACCTCTTTGTGTGTTAGTCGCTCAGTCGTGTCTGACTCTCTGTGACTCCATAGATTTTAGCCTGTCCATGGAATTCTCCAGGCAAGAACACTGGAGTGGGTTGCCATTTCCTTCTCCAGGGGACCTTCCCGACCCAGGGATCAAACCCAGGTCTCCTGCATTGCAGGCAGGTTCTTTACCATCTGAGTCACCAGGGAAGCCTCTTTAACTTTGTTTAATACAGTAACTCCTAGAGTTATCTGACCACAAAGACCTTTTTTTTTTTTTTTTGAGTAACACCAATTTATACCCTGCAGAATAATCTTCAGGAAATGCTACTATAGGTAAATGCTGCTCCGAGCCCTTCCACCTTAATTACCTGTTGAGTCAGTCGCTCTCGCTCCTTCTCCAGCATGTAGGTGACATCATCGCCTTCAGCTGTGTCCTGTGCATGCCTTTGCCTTTCTTCTTCAAGGTCTAGGATTACCTTTAAGGAATTAAAAAAAAATCATTTCCAAATATAGGGAGTCACACTTAGAATACAATTTAACAGTAAGTGCCTATCTAGGCATCCAAGATCACATTCCATAGATAGGTAAATAAGTAAGTACATCTCAGTCAGGGCCATCAAGAGCACACTGTCTAGAAGGGTGAAAGATATGTGCTAGAAAAAAATACGTATGTACTTTACCTCACACAAAGTGGCATGGAAACAGAAAAGAGGAACTCATTAGCTGCAGGGACTGAAAAGGTTTCAGAGAATTAGTAAGTTTGGTGGGATTAGGGGACAGGTGTAGGTGATGAAGTAAGGCAGATTCATGGAAAGCTGAAAGCTGAGGCTTTCCCCGTGATGCTCAAATCACTGGAGGTACCAGAGAGTGAAGCCTGAAATTTAACATTTCAAAAAGGTGACATCCTAACTGTGCCTTGCTTAATTAATATATCCATCTTGTATACAGTTAGATAAGAAGTAAAAAGATTCTCTAGACTTCATCCTGCATACGAGAAGGCTCAATTATTGAGATCTGAAGTGGAGATTTTTCATAAGGCCTTTTAATTAACTGTCTACCCATTCCACTTACCCTGGTGGCAAGCAGTTAAGCCCAACTTTAAGGAGAGTACAGATTTAAAGGGGCACTTCCCCACATAACCCTGCCTACAACTGCATAATATTCCAATAATTATGGATTTCTTTGTAGCTTCTGCTCATGATTCAGAGGCGAGTTGGCCCAGACCTCCTCGAGCCAGAGCACTGTCATCCCCATGGCCATTTCTCATTGTTTCTCTTCACTAACAACTGTTATGAATGGAGAAAGAAGACTTTCTGGGACTCCTCTTTAAATACAAAAATGAAAACATTCTGGTGTATTTCCTTCTGGTTAAAAAAAGATTTTGGCTTCTCTCCAGCAAGTCTTCTAAAATTATAGAAATGGGATGAAAAGGAAAAAAACCCTAAAAAGAGAGACTTTGGCAGACAAATTTTAATATTCTGAAGAAAGAGTCTGGAGGGATGGTAACTACTTGGTACAAGGGAGGAAGCTGTTTTGCCCTATAGGACCCCAAAGACATAGGGTACCTGCAGATGGCAGATACTGCAGAGAAGAGGTAAGGTGTAGGATGGAAGGCAAGGGAACTAGTTCCAGGTATATATTTTCAAGAGTTATCTGTCCCTTCAACCTGATTCCTGTACACAAAATGCCTAGCCAGGCATCTACTGCCCAGGAATACACCAGATGTTTATACTCTGAAGAAACAGAATGTGACAGCCTCCAGATTTGGTAATAACAGATATGACAGAGAATAAAGGTGAGGAAAGGGGATTATTTTTATTTTGGGAAGATGGCAGGGTGAAGAGGAAAGGAAAGTGGGGTGCTAATAAAATCCACATCTATAATAAAAGGAAGTAAATATAAGTGTCTAAAATTGATAAAGTGAGAGAGCAATATATTAGTTAGAAATATGGAAAAAATATATGGAAGTTAGCTAACAAAATAAACATTAAAAGAAGAAAAGTGGTTGTCTCTAATGTTGAAGAGGAGAGGGAATGGGAAGAGGTAGACTAGGAAACCCTATTTTTCATAATAAGCACAGTAACCATGTAACTGACTGTTTAAATCACTAATATGTCTAATAGCCAAAGTAGGTATTGTTAACAGCCCTGCCAAGGCACCAGGCTTAAACTGGCAATCTCTCAGGCAAACTGGGACTATATGCATGTTAATTATAAGTCTCTAGGTAGTATGTGATGTCTAATGAAGTCAATGTTCTACTTTGATAAAACACTTCAGAATAGACAGGCAGTGATTTAAAACATTTAATGCTATCTTACATTGCAATATAGTATTAGGAAATCTTGAAATTTTTAACTCTTCTTCTCCCCAATCACCTAGGACCATAAATAATCCCAACACTATTTCAACAGTGATAGCCAGTCAGCCCTTTAGTACCACTCAATTACTTTATGTATGAAATGGAAAACAGGCTTGCCTATTAAATAAAGAGATGTTGTATAGATTTTCTTATAATATTATGTAAAAGCCCCCAAATTTAGGCAACTAACCCTAACTCATTGATTATTAGGAAATCTTGAAATTTTTAACTCTTCTTCTCCCCAATCACCTAGGACCATAAATAATTCCAACACTATTTCAACAGTGATAGCCAGTCAGCCCTTTAGTACCACTCAATTACTTTATGTATGAAATGGAAAACAGGCTTGCCTATTAAATAAAGAGATGTTGTATAGATTTTCTTATAATATTATGTAAAAGCCCCCAAATTTAGGCAACTAACCCTAACTCATTGACATCTTTTAAACTGGAGCATAAATGTCTTCATATTACTTCAGTCTAAACCAGAGGTTAAACTTTTCTGGGTCTTGGTCTTGGAGCAACTCTGAGAATTCTAGTAAGGATAGGGGAAAAAAAATTCATTTTCTATAAAATGCATAAACTTTTGCATTCATTGTATTTTCTGGGGGGTCACGGAACATCTGAGACCTGTTCGTGGTTAAGAACTCCCGTTCTGGCTTTTTGTTTGGACTCTGTGAAGGGAAAGAAAAATTGTGGGCAAGACCTAAGACCTTAAGCACTTTGTCAGATGCACTTTAAGCAGAGGACTCTCTAAAGCAGGTAACCATAAAGTAAACAAAGATCTATCAGACTGCAGCTGCTAACCCAAAATGTTTCTGAATAAAACACTTCCTACTAAATGCACTGATGTCCTCCCACCTTGTTGATATAAATCTAAACCAACAGTCCTTAAAAATGCATATTCTAGCCAAGCATCTTTTCCAGGCCAAATGTGAGCTATAAATGACGAGTCGGGGAATGAAATCACAAGCACTAGAAGAATTCCAATGAGATGAGGTAGAGGAAAGCACAGGTCCTATCTTAGATGCTGTAAGACCTGGAGACAGACAGACAGACACACACACATACACACACATTCCTAATAGAGAACAGCTTTAAGGTAAACAACTGTAGGGACTGTTTATGGTTTCAGATGAGGTAAAATGCAATGAAACTCAAAACCAGAAATAAATAAAAATAATCCATTGGCTTGTATGTTTATAGTCAGGTAAATTCTCTCTCTGATACAGCATTCCCCAAATACCCAAATACCTATTAATCTTTCTATTTATCACTTAAGTAAGCAAATAGAGAACATTCTGTTCAGCTACAAGGCATGGTCAAGCCCCAGTTTGTTGCCAAAGTTTGGGTGATCAAGAGTTGAAAAAACATACCAAGTGTTTTAGAGTGTCATATCAAGAAGGAATGTCATCTAAAATAATGTGTCTGACATACTCCCTAAATTTAACATTTGGAATAAGCTTCATTTTTATCTCCTGGATCCTAGGTAAGCTACTTTTTTTTTGGACACCTGTGAGACCTCCCAGTTGAACTACCATGAGACCTGGCAGCTGACAGAGAAGTATCAGGCACTATTTAGAAAGCTGTCACAGGAGCCTGCGGGCTCGTGTCAGCCAGTCACCCACCTTGCGGTGTCGGCTCTCAGCAGCAGCCAGCTGCGACAGCATGCGCTCCTGCATGTTCTTGCACTGTTTCATCACCACCTTAAGAATTGAGAGCGGGTTGGTGCACACTGGCTGCTTCTCGCCATCATTCTTCTCTTTTAGGGTTTCAAAGTCTCTCTGGAGTGCCATTAAAGGATCACTGATGTTGTATTTTCCATAGCGTTCTTCAATGAAAGTATCTCTGTGTTGGGCCTGGGAAAAAAGGAAAAATAAGCATTTTGCTTTCAAACATTACTTAAGAGGGGATTTGCTAGCAGTTAGACATCAAAGGTGGTGGCGTTAGTGTGAAGTAACCTGTGGACTACAAATCAGACGGGCCATCTAAGTACAGACACAGCATCAGGACAGGGGCACAGCATACTAACGAGAACAAATACTCATACAGTGCTAATTACATGTTAGATGCTGCTCCAAGTGTTTAGATTCAGATTACCTTATTTAGGTTTTACTCTGACTTTTAAAGTAGTGCTATCATTTCCATTTTGCAGATGAGAAAATTACTATGCAGAGGTCAAGTGACTTGTTTCAGGTCACTCGGCTAGCAAGCTGTCAGAACTGGGACTTAAACCCAGGCAGCCTGGCTCTAAAGTCTGTGACCTGAACTGCCATGCTTACTGCCTCAGCTTATGAATGCTTATATTACCAACGGGTATAGCTTATCGTTCCTTGCTGAGTTGTGGCATTTGCATTTCTAAAATATGGTAAAGATAATATCTTTATGAGTTTACAGATTTAGAGACCTAACAAAGTGGCCACAGATAAGTAAAGGATGCTAAAAATAATTCTACATTATAACAGAGGACTGGTTGTGATTTCTCCACATAGAACTTCACTTGACTGCTGATGGGTCAAGAGGATGGAGGCTCTCAGCGCTAGGGGTGCAGACAGAATCCCTCCCTCTACCCCCTCTTCCAGCCTCCGTTTAGCTGCTATCTTTCATCTCCATTCTGTCCCCTTCAGGGCTCAGGGAACTTGAGCAGGGAATGTGGGCTGGTGCTTGGGGTCTGGCTGAGGGCTTTGGGCCTGGGCACCCAGTCAGATCAAACCATCAGGAAGGCAGTCGAAGGAGATTCTTAGGCTACTGTCTTGTCTCTGCTAGGAAAAATCTGAAGTACTGTTTCATTTGAGCATCATATATTACGTAGAGGTGAACAAAGGACATTAATAATCACTTTAGTAAACAGACATTTAAATGTTTCCTAAGACATTTTACAAAAAAAAAAAAAATGAAGTGTTCATAGAGGATTGAGGAAACTTCCTTAAAAGTCACAGCAAAGTACTGTATAATTTAAGCTTTCAAATGAAATCTAGTTACAAAAACTACTGTCATTTCTCAATTAAAAAAATTATTTTATCAGGAGCTATATATATATTTTTACTACCACTACCCACAAACGGGAACCCATTTGAAAAGAAAAATACACAATTCAATGACCATGCTTAAAAAACAGAACAAAAACCCTCAAGAAAATAAAGCAAACATGGGTTTCTTTGACACAGAAATAGGTTTCAGTGCTGAACATTTGATGCCTCCTCCTTCATTACAGACTGTCAAAGTTCAAGACTCAGTAATTAGCCTTGTGTTACAAATTTGTGTTGGTATTGGTTGGCAAATGCTTAAAGCAGAGTTAGAAGCCCTGGGTTTTACTTCTGGCTTGACTACAACCATATTAAGCAATGATGTTATTGGAGTATTTGGATAATATCTGTATACTAGAAGTTTGAAATTCATTTGTTGCTGTAAGTTACTGTTAACTAACCCCCTAACCTTATTATAAATATATATGTGTGCACATGTGAGCATGTAAATTAAAAGACAGAATCCTATTTTGAGGTCCAAATTAAAAAGAAAATTCTCAGTAAAATTTCAAAAATTTCAAAATCAAGTCCATTTAGTATGGAGAAAGACAAGACCAATTCCAAAACTGACTATCATCATCATCATTTTGGTTGTACCTTGTGGCATGCTGGATATTAGTTCCCTGACCAGGGATTGAACCCATGCCCCCTATATTGGGAGTTGGGAGTCTTAACTACTGGACTGCCAGGGAAGTCCTATTATTTTTTAAAAAATCATAGCAAGAGTTGACAAAAAAGCTAATTTTAATTACATATGTAAGAGCATTAATGTCAAACAAATGTGACTCATCAATGTTTTCATGAAGAATATCTTTTTCTTTTAAGTTTAGGTATAAAAACATGAGATTGATAACCCAGGATTCAATGAAAGTATCTATTTGTAGCTATTAATGTCCTACGGCAAATTCTTATTTAGCAAAACAGACAAAGGAAGCAAGAGAAAAAAGGGAAAAAAAAGTCTTTAAGGAGTTGAAATCCCACTTTTCTGTAACATCTTTTATTCATGATTACTATTTCTGTAAGATTAGCTATGGAAAAGAAACGATTATTGGCACTGAAATTGGTTTAGTAGGGCAAAAAGGAAAAAGCAAACTTGAATATTTTTATGACCTTTTCCTTTTCAGAACACCATGGAGAAAGCGGTATGGGAGAGCAGAGCTGGGAGTACAATTCAAGATTGATATGAGATCTGCTGAGAAGCTCCTCTCAGGTTTGAGTACATATTTAACTCACCCTTAAAAATATGACTTTTTAAAACCCACACCATTATTATCCTGTAGAATTAATAAGCATCACAGAGTTACAAGTAATGGATGCGGAGCTTCTGTGGTGAGGTCTCAGACTTCTCTGAGAATAGTTGTCAAGCTGTCTGTTTTCTCTTGAAGTATTTCACTGTAATACATAGTCACTTGCATAGTAATTACAAGTTATATAAAATTGGTAGCTTCAATATAAGTGAAAAGAATCTGTGAAATAATCGAAAAAAGGTGCCTTATCATTAAACAATTCTCTTAAGTACATTCTAATAAGGGCCCGAATATAGGAAAAGTGAATTCTGTATTTATTATACCAAACAGTAGATTGGAAAATGAGATGGAATATAGTATTTTCCAACCAACTTAATGTGTCAGTGAGGTGAACTGGATGGGTTACACACTTAACAACCTAAATAATAACAACAGAAATAAACAAAAATAGATGTTACGATTTGATAAATGAAAGAAGAGGTTTAGTGGAAGTATGTATGGTTATTTGGGCTTCCTTGGTGACTCAGATGGTAAAGAGTCTGCCTGCAGTGTGGAGACCTGGGTTCGATCCCTGGGTCGGGAAGATCCCCTGGAGAAGGAAATGGCAACCCACTCTAGTATTCTTGCCTGGAAAATCCCATGGATGGAGAAGCCTGGCAGGGTACAGTCCATAGACTTGCATAGTCAGACATGACTGAGCAACTTCACTTCACATGGATATTTATTCCTGTTTAACAAATCACCCCCAATTTAAATGTTTAGTGAACCATTTTTAATCTCATACAGTTTCTGAGGGTCAGGAATCTTGGAGGGGTTGAGGGCTGAGCTGGGTGGTTCTGGCTCAGTGTCTCATGAAGTTGCAGTCAAGATGCTGGCCAGGACTGCAGGCATCTGAAGGCACAACTAGGGCTGAAGGATCTACTTCCAAGCTTGGTTGTTGGGTTAGGCTTTGTCTCCTAGCATGTGCTGGCTTCCCACAGAGCAAGTGATGTGCGAAAGTGAGAGACAGATAGACAAAGACACATCAAGATGGAAGTCCCACTGTCTTATAACCTAATCTCAGAAGTGACTCCCCATCATTTCTGATGTGTTTTAGCAACCACACAGACCAACCCTGGTAAATGTGGCCAGTGGGGACTACATAATGGTGTGAATATCAGGAGCAGGATCACTGAGGGCCATCTTTGAAGCTGGCTATCAAGGTGAATGACTAGACATGCTACCATACCATTCACATTTCAGGTTAAAATTTAGACTTAAATACCTATTCTAAAAACTGTCAAGGCTGAGCTTTAATATTTTAATGATATCTCAGCTATTTTATAAGAACTTTAAAATGATCTAGATTTCACTTTTGGGGGGGAAAGATGAGGAGTGCTGCTAAAACCAGTCAGTTGCTTGCAATTTCATTATTTTCACTTTAGTGACAATATGTATTTTAACTGAACACAAATTCCTACATTGTCAGAAAACACAATGGTCTTTAATTCCAGACAACAATAAGTAATTGGCTTATCAGACAGATTCAATAATAGAGGATATTACTACAGCAGACAAAACATACTAGTCATCTATTACTCATTTATTTTTACTGTTACAGGCTGAATGAAACATGCCACTACTGAAAACTTGACACAAAGTAAGTACAATAAACATGAATTAATTTTTTCAATAGCTAAATTTAGAATACAGATTTTCCTTTATTTTACAGTCAGTGACTTAAACTCAACTCCACAGATTTAAGATTCTGTAAAACTGGATCAGGCTAGGAAATCTTCATTAAAAGCAAAACAAAATTAACCAATCCCAGATAACTCAAAAGTAACACATCACTAAAAATATATCAGGAACCTGGATAATCAATAACACTCTATTTACTTAGCAACCAATCTTCAACTAGTTTTGACATAATTATATAATGTGGTCAACTGGTATGTAACTCTTGTGTTGTTATAAACATTTCTCACTTTCCTGTCTTTATTTCATCCTCACTAGATTTTAAGTTATTTGAAGGAAAAAGCACTTATCATACATCTTTCTTCCTACATTCTGTATTTTGCCTTAAGCCTAAGACATACAATAGATGTTTATTTTCTAGCCTCTTTCCTGATGTCTTATCCTCTCTGTACTCTCATCATTTTAGTGAGGTCAAAATTTCTTTTTTTTTTTTTCTGTTAGTAAAATCTAGACTAGTTCCAAATAGGAAAAGGAGTATGTCAAGGCTGTATATTGTCATCCTGCTTATTTAACTTATATGTACAGTAAATAATGAGAAACGCTGGGCTGGAGGAAGCACAAGCTGGTTGCAAGGAGATCCAACCAGTCCATCCTAAAGGAGATCAGTCCTGGGTGTTCATTGGAAGGACTGACGTTGAAGCTGAAATTCCAATACTTTGGTCACCTGATGCGAAGGGCTGACTCATTTGAACAGACCCTGATGCTGGGAAAGATTGAAGGCAGGAGGAGAAGGGGGTGACAGAGGATGAGATGGCTGGATGGCATCACCAACTCAATGGACAAGAGTTGGGGTAAACTCTGGGAGTTGGTGATGGACAGGGAGGCCTGGCATGCTGTGGTTCATGGGGT